TGGGGTTTTTTTTTTTTTTTTTTTTTTTTTTTTAAATGGGAATGGGGAGAGGGTTTTGTTCCCAGTTAAGTGTGGAAAGTTGACAGACGGGCTTTGAAATGGAGATTTCTCTTCTCTCTTCCTCTCCCCCCCCCCCCCAAAACTCTCAAGAAAAGCAGAAGTCTGCTTAATGCATTAAACATCCCAGCTGTTGTAGAGATGGAAAAGACTAGAAAGTTTCATCTAGTCAAGGAAGAAACATCCCCAGGTTCAGTGGGGGGAGCGGGTTGTTCTCTGCTATAAACTCTCATCCCAGTCCAGGAATTATTTTAAATAAATAAATTCCTTTGCACCAGACTGGAGACTGCCCAATCATGCAGACAAAAAGCCCTTCTTTAAATGACTCAGTTGCGAATCAGTGCTCAGAGGAGCATGAGGCAATCTGAGCTGCTTAATAAACACACAACTTTTTTTTCCAGACAGAAAAAAGCTGGCTCTGGGCAGGGAGAGAACTGAACCCCCAAAGTGAATTTGACAGTGAACTAAGCAGCTGAAAAAGGGGCTGGGGGGGGGGGGGGAGGGAGGAGTGAGATGAAAGGGAAGTTGGGATTCAATCCTGACTACCTAGGATTTTGGTTCATGCGCCTTGTCACGGCATCAATAGGCTTCCATCCAGGCCTTCTACCTCTGTCTCCTATAGGGCTCCAATCCTGTAGGCTCCCCACATGGGTGCAAGGTCCAAGCCTGTGGAGCAGGGACTGAGGCCTATCTGGATCCATCAGTCTTTAAGCTGATCTGGGAACTGAAATAAAGAGGAGTCTCTGGTGCAGCAAAGGCCGGTGTTGGTGCTTTAATAAATAACACCCTGGGCCAGCTGGGGGAGGGGAAGGGGGCTCTTGTCTGTTGGGTGGGGACACAGCATGTGGAGAGGGTGGGATGCTCCATGCGCTGCCTATTGCAGAGAGCAGGGACAGTGCCTGCCATCCGGCAGAGGTGCGGTCCCTTTGATGTGAACTAATTAGGCCTGTGATGTTTTCACAGCTGGCTTAGTGTGGCTGGGCTCTGTGGAAGTCAATTAAAGTGCAGCTCCAACCCCCACTTCCCAATCAAACACCCCGACTGATACCAGGCCCCCCTTGCAGGTCCCCAGAGAACCTCCAACTCCTCACACAGTGGTTTGTGATGAAAGAAACTAACCGCTGGAGAGGAAAGACCCAGCAGGTTTTTCTAGGGCTGAATATTTGAATCCAGATAATGTATGTAGATTGTAACCTTTTTATCTAATCCTTGGGAGGGACGTATTCTTAAAGCGATGGGGTCAGGCTGAGGGGAGCAGCTGGATCTACATCCCAAAGTGGGGTGGAGCAGAAATCCTCCTCCAGAGAGAAGGCCGTGTATCTATTGGTCATAACCCCCTGGTAACAATTCATCACCGGCTCACAGTGGGCCTAGAACCTTCTATGAGTTCTGTTTTTTTAGTTAGAAAAGTGTGATTGTCTTTAAGTTACGTGTGTGTGTGTGTAAACAAAATACGTTCACCAATGTGCTCAGGATTGTTTCGTGCTTCTTGAACTCTCGGATGGTGGGGGGCTGGACCGATCCCCTGGGCTGAAGCAGCGACTAGTCCAGGGCGTAGCTTGGGCTACACTGAAAAGCCCCAACCCTGCCACCTCTTCAGCGGGCGGGTAGCTTTGGGCAGGAGCACAGCCTCGCTGAAGCGGATGCGGCTGCTTCCCTGAGCACAGTAAGAGCTTG